GAACCATTATGCCACATCAAGTTTCATTTTAAAGTTCATAAATATACCTTTAAAAAAATGAAAACAAAGTACTTTGCCATCCTGGGGACATAAATCATGAATTTTATGGCCTCAAAAGACCACCAGAAGATGAGGTCTGATATTTCTAAGGTGACAAGCAATTTATATGGATAAATCACAATTTGAGCTTCATTATGCTCAAGCTGATATATACAGCAGTAAAGTTTATAGATGTTGATTTAACAGTGTTTAATAATAATATAAAAACCTAGGCTTTTCTGTTACTAATTTCTAGTTCTACCAGAGACGTTCAGCAATTTTAAGCGCCTGTGAAATCGGCAGTAGCAGGCTATGGGGTCCGACTGGAAACAGAATACAGGTTCCTGCCTGTTCTGGGCCTTGGGTCACTGGAGCCTAATGTGTGAAAATGTTGGAATTTGATTTAAAAGAGCCCAGAAAGCAGTGATGCATGGGGCCATGCTACCACCCTAACCGAGACTATAATCTGGAATAAAGGTTATGAAGGACATTGCACACGGACGTAGAATTTGGAAGTCTGCTTGTCTTCATAGATATCAAGGCTCTCTGGGTCACAGCTAATATCACCATAGCCTTATTGCAATGTCACTGAGTGTCAAACCTTGCTCAGTGAACATAATGCCAACTTTGGAGATGGACTGCCTGGATCCAAATCCAGGCTGTATTGCTGAACATTTTGTGCCTGGGTCGAGTGACCTGATTATCTCTGAGCTTCAATTTGTTCTTCACAACATGGAGATACCAATCTTCTATAGTGCTCAAGAAGAATGAATTGAGTGATGAGCTCTTCTCTGTAGAGTCCCCAGGAGAGTGTCTGAAACCTAAAACTGACAGACATTTATTGGCTACCAGATACCAGGGGCTGTTCCTTGCTTCACGCTATGTACTAACTATGTTCTGTTTAGCCTCTTACTCGTCTTAATATTGCCCTGTACCTAAAAATGTGGCTTTGAAGTCCCTCTGTCCTTCTAGTAGATGTCAAGCTAACTGTGGGTCTTCCTAGAACATTGTTTGGGCTGATTCAGAGGTTTAGCCTGAGTGTGGATTTGAGTGGTGGGATCAACATCTGCCCTGAGGTGCAGTCTTGGCTTGGCCCCTTCTTGCCTTTAGTTTGGGTGAACAGCGCAGTAGGAGAGGTGGCACCTTCATGGCTTAGACAGAAGTCAGGAGGCAGCTCGGATCTGCGGTGAAAATCCTCTCTGCTTTGGGGCCATTACTTCTCTGTCTCTGAACGTTGGTTCATTCTTTCAGTAGGGAGTTATGTTTTTTGTTTTCTTCTACTTTGCAGTTATTCATTACCTTTCGGAGTCTCTTCATTTCTGTGAACATAAAGCAAAATTTGTCTTAGCTCGTTTTAAAAATCAATTTTTTGTTCTTCTTAAGATTGTTTTCTCAGGATATCCCAGCTCTCTGAAGATGTTAATTCTGTTTTGATTCTCTTTATAATCAAATTCCTTTTTGAAGCACTCTTGAATCCTATTGAAACTGTCTGCTGGGCTATGTCTTTTGAGATGAAGAAGCAATCTTTATTCTGGCAAATCTGTCGATCTTCCATTCCCCTTCCCTGTCCTGAAACTATGAAGTTGCCAGTTCCACCCTTTCTTCTATCGCCTTGCCTCTAGAGACTCAGCTGAATAATTTTTTTTTTGTTTCTTCCCTACCGTTTATGCTGGGTAGTGGTTTTTGTATGTGGATTCAAGATGAAAGATAAACAACAAAGATACGATAGTAATCATTTAATTTTCTGGTGCATTTTTCAACTTTTTGGCTTTTAGTTCTGCCAAAATTACAAATGGTATGAGCTGAAAACAGAACTTACTCTAAGACACATCATCAGAGCAGCAAGGATGTATGGCCACGGGGTTCAGGATGGTTTGCAGAGAGCAAAGATTGGATTAAATCTATCTGAGCAATTCTCCCTGGGGTCTTCTAGATATCCCTTTGTCTATTTTTGAAAATATCTTAATTGAAGGCCTTAGCACGCTGTGAAAGAAAGGGATAGCTTGTTTGATTTGCATCAACAGAAGTAACTTCTTCAAATCCAGAGGAGGTGGAGACCTCTCAGCAGTTGCACAGTGGCCAAAGGGAAATGCCCCAGGAGGCTTCTGGGGAGGAGTTGACAAGCTTCCATGACAGGGAACCATTCATCTCAGTCAGCAGCCTGCTTGCCAGCTGTGGCCCGTGAGTGAAGATCGAATTGCCTCTAAGGCAAGTCCTAACTGGTTTCTCATCCTAAAGAATGGCTGGGCCCCTCAGCAGAGTGAAGCAGGCTTCAGCATGATTGTGTTCTGTGAGTAAAAGACCTATGTGATTTAGCCTTCAGCTTGCCCTGCTCCAATCAATTCTCCTCACTATAGCGGGAGTGATATTTTAATAACAGACATTGGGTTATGTCACTGGCCTGATTAAAGTCCAGGCTTCTTCACATGGCCCAAGGCCTGGCAGGAGGTGTCTGGAGCCTGTCTTCCTCCTTACATCTCAGATAGGTAATGCTTCTTTCTGTAACCAAGTCTTCCGCACATTCTTCTCTGTCTGCTATGCTATTTCTCTCCCTTTTATCCCTGTCACTTCTGTTTCAGATCTCAAATAAAATATCATTTCCATAGCAAATCCTTCTCTGACCTTCTTGGAGGTCAAATCTCCTTATTAAAAAGTCTCATATCCTTGCTTGAAGTTGTTGTAGGTTTATTTCAATGTTTTGTTAGGCTGTGGGAGCCAGGATGGTATTTTGTTCATCACTTTAGCTCAGGGCTTGGTAGCAGGTTAATTAATACTCTTCGGGAATCATGATTAAGTGATTCTCCCACTTCCTAACTCTACAGAGAAAATTCAGTCTCCAAAGTTTTCCTTCTGGATATCCACCTTCATTCTCTGTCTGGTGAATTCCTGTTCAACTTTGAAGATCAATCTTCATAATCCTTTTTTTTTTTGAGTTGACTTTTATAGTTACCTTTGTCGTAGTCAGAGGAGGCTGAATGGCTTAACTCAAGAGGAATATATTTCTAGATCATATAACAGGGTCACCATACTTGTTTCTCCTCCAGAGCCCCAGCAGGGAGGAGTATTCAACTCTGCACTTCTGTGATTTTGAAGACAGGAATAGGGAAATGTGGTAGGCCAGATGCTGGCTCTAACCTTTCCACTTAGAAGTGATATGCCTCCACTCAGATTTCATGCTCAGAAATGGTCAGGCTTAAATTAGAAGAGGATGGAGAGGTCCATTTGTACTGTATGGAAATGGGTAAGATTTTATGGATATCACTAGTCCAGACCAAACTTCCCCAACTTCTGGTTCCTCTTGGTATAGTCAACCTGTCACTCTCAGTAATTTATTCTTCTACCCTCCCATATAGTCACACCAAAGACTTAATGTTAATGTCAAGCACACCACTCTGTGACTTTATCTTTCAGTTTTCTAGCTCCTGTGTTCTAGTGCCTTCACTGCACTAATTCCTTGCTTACCTCAGGATTCTGGATGCAGGTTAGGTTCCCCTGGGAAGCTACTCCAAGATGGAGATGAGCACATGGGAAGTTGTTGAGTACCTGAGTTCTGTCACCAATTTCTGGTGTTTTGTCTTTTATGTCATGGTTACTAGACTCCTGCTAACTGTGGGTCTCCTTTTAAGACCTCGATTATACAACAATAACTTTTATTTATAGCCTGACAGATCTTTAGCACTGAAAACAGTCTGCTGTTATATCAGTGTGTTTTATTAGGAAATAAATTGACCTATTTTTCTTTTAAAAATAAATAGATAAATGAATTTTCTAGTCATTTTTATCCTTAGTTTCTATTTGTTAAGGGTATTAGGGCATTGATGACTACCTTAAGTGAAACACTGTATTTGACTGATTTTGAAGATGTGTTCACGAAGTAAATCAGAGTGAATAAGACATTGGGCTATGAGTTCAAATCCAAAGTCTAGAATATCTTAAATGGGGTGATTTTGTGTCAGATATTTAACTTCTCTGAACATCAGTTTTCTCAGATTTACAAGTGTTTGTAGTTTGCTCGTGGATTTGCATGTTGATCAAGTTGGATGATGTCTTCAAAGATATGAAGCATTAGGTTCAGAACTGACCCTTAGAACAAATGGATGGGGTTCCTGGGCTTGGGGTGGTTAATGTATGTCATTGGCTATTAAATAGTGGAAGAAAAAGTAGACCTCACATTGTCCATCTTGGATTCCCACGCTGTAATCTGCTTCTGTAACCATCGCTGATAAGCAATTTGAGTAAAATGAACATTTTTTGAAAATGTAATTTACAGAAAAAGACCCAACTCTCTACTTAAAATTGTAAATTATATTAATTCTTATCATAAACTTTTATGAGAAAGAAGATGACACCCAACCTCCATGCCAAAGAGAACAATAGCTTTTGTGGAATCAGCCCATTCATTATTCTGTTGCATAGGGTAGATCCCCAGGTCAAAGGATGAAAAGCATTAATTTGCATCAGAACATAGCTGCTGTCTCTGTTCACAGTACAGCATAGGAAAAATTGGCTACAGCATCATTTTGCAACAGATGGATTAAAGCATGTCTTAGTTCGATACTGAGCAGAGGGGCTGGATTCCCTTGATCGCTCTGATAAAAGCTGCCTGTGTATTGTAGATGCCCAATAAATATTAATTGGTATCAACTCACTGGACATAGAACTCCTTGAATTTGAACGTTTAAATACAGTACCCTCCTTGGTGAGAAATTAATAATAGACTCTGTCTTCATACTTCTTGGGTTCATAACTTATATCTCACATGTTCTAGAAATACTTTCAGCTCAGGATAGGATCAAATGCACCAGTTTAATTTGTGCTTTGGCAGCTTTGGTTTTTAATGCATCTTGTTTTTTCTCTTGACTTCAGTGGGCATTCACCTTTGTAATTTCGTTGCTGGATGATTACATTCTGGCTCAATTACTCGATTAAACAGATACTGTTTCCTTTTCTTTCTCCTTCAGATATTGATGAATGTGCAGCTAAGATGCATTACTGTCATGCGAATACTGTGTGTGTCAACCTGCCAGGGTTATATCGCTGTGACTGTGTCCCAGGCTACATTCGTGTAGATGACTTCTCTTGTACAGGTGAGCAATAAGAAGCAGTGTTTTTCTAATTCATCCCTTCTCTGCACTGTATCTGTGTTGTTATAGTATACAAAATGCTACTTTTACTTAAATAATTTCCCTCTTTCATAATTTCACCCTCACATCCTGAAAAAGAAATAATAATACAAGGCATTTTTATCTACATAATTGCTTTCTGCTTCCAGTATTTCTGCCTGTATATGTGTATGACTGCATACATGCATGGGTGTGTGGTTTGAAACCAAAGTACCAGTTGCCTATGGTAACACCGAGGGACTTCGAGATATCAGTTCTAAAAATAAAGTTTCAAGCTGTTTTCCCTTGCATCCTGATGACATGGTTTTCTATTTAAAAAATGTATTTTGAGAACGATAAGCCTTGTATTGGAATAGGTGGCAAGAGTGCTTGTTGGTCAGAGGTTGGACATGCAGGAGCCAGGCAGGATGATTTTGCTTAACATTTTCTTGCTGTCAGTTTCCCACCTCTTTTCCCTGTGGCACTGTGCTCAGCAGTAAGCTGGAGCTCCAAGGCCAGGGTCACTGGCTCTATTCCACCGAGTTGGTCTCGTGGGGAATTTACTGCGTAGTTCCAATGTATTTCCAGTCATGTACCTGAAGGTATAAACCTTAAATTGGTTAAGAGTAGTAGAAGATTCCAGGCCTTTCTTTGCTTGGATCAAATATATTCAGATGCCCAGTTGGCATGCTATAATAATTTAATTTTCGGTTCTTTTTTGAACCTCGACTTTCAGTCATACTGTACCTTTCCCTGACTCCTGCCTCTTTCTGTCTTAAGAGCATTGCCATGTAAAACTGCATTCTTCACTCAAAATGTAGTGCCACCTAATGTCTTTTTCTGAATGATTTTTGTAGAAACACAAAAAATTGGAGAAGTTATAGAAACACATACAGCCGAATTCTTTTGCCATTCACTGTTGTATATTTCCAAATTGCTGTTCTTCAGGGAAAGGGCTGGAGAGCTGAGGTTAATGCTATTTTCTGAGGGTCACATAAGGCCAACTGTCATTTATTTCTCTTCTCTACAGTTTTATTAAGATTTCTAGGGAAACATGAGAGTGATTTCATGAATACAACATGCCAGGATTTAAGTATTTTAAGGGCTCAAATTTCTTTTGGACCAGTAAACAAACACGATGTAAAAAGCCATGAAGTTATAGGCAGTTGTCATTCTCTTCTCACGAGTAAATGCAGCTCATAACTTATTTTAAGCCCAAGACTCGAGAAAGCGGATGACTGTCTTCCAGGAACAATAGCACCATGTCATGCGACTCACTAACCCTTAAAGAAGAGTCCTTGAAGTGACATCAGTTTGCCACCCCTGCCCCTGTGTCCTTGCCGAGGAGGGTGGGAACTCCTGTTGAGGACAGGTGCTTCACCTGGCTGTCTGGATATGGAACAGGATGGAAAATGTGTCATCTGAAGAACTGGCTCCAGAATTATTTCAGAAAGAGAAATACGTTGTTTGGAATAAAAGACAAAAGTATGGATATATTAGGCAGCCAGGCATCCCTTTTTCACAGAAAAAGAATAAATAGCTCTGCAGCAAAATAAAAAAATCCCTGCATTGCACACATTTTTGTTTCGTTGTGCATGTGTGTGTCTTTTGCTAGAGAGGAAATGGAAATGTTAGAAAATACAAAGGAGAGAAAAACGAGGGGTGAAGCAAAGAGCATAAGAGGCACCAGTCCGAGCAGAAGGCTGGGCACAGTGGACAGAGTATAGGTGAAAATGACCCGAAGGAAGTAGAGAGGGGAAGATGTTTTTAACAGGAGCGTTTAATGTGAGGTTTATCCATGGTTTGGCTACACAGTGTGCCCTGTGAGCCTTCCTCCGGCCTCTTACATCTTCAGTGGCAAGTCCTTCAGTGAGGGGTAAGCTCTCCTCCACACCAGAGGAAGCGCATTAATATGATGGGCCACAGAAATGGTTTCTGTGCATAGGGGATGTTGGCATCTCACAGGGAACCGTCCTGATCTAACCCTTCCATCTGCTTCTGCTGCCCCAGCCCACAGACACTTAGTTATGCACACATAAGTATCTATTGTCCCTGCCTCCTCCTCTCAGGAATTTCAGAATCCTTCAGGAGGACTGTGGTCCTCCGTAGATAGGATCTTTTGAATGGCCACACATTCTTCAGTCCTACTTACCTCCTCCTTGCTCTGCTTTCCTTTTAATTTGTCTGTGGGTGTCGTCCTCATTTACTTTTGCTCACCTACCTGCCTCCCTCAGACCCCTACGGACTTCCATCCTCGCCACTCCACAGAGACCACATTTATCTAAGTCACTGTGAGCTTCACTTTCCTGAGTCTGATGTCCTTATCTTAGCGGCATTTAGCAGAGCATTTAACACACCTTCCTCTTTGAGACAGAGTCTTTGCTGCTTGGCTTTTGTGGCGTTCTGTTTCCTATTTTTTCTTCTTTCTCACTGTCTGCTCCTGCTTAGTGTTTCTGAGTGTTCTTCCTGTGCTGATCTTTGAAAGATTAATATGCCTTAGAGCTCTGTCCTCCTGTTCTTGTTTACCTGTATTTTTAAGGTGCTGTCATAAATCTTGTGGCTTTAACAGAATTTCAATGTCACTAACACCTAAATTTCTATTTCCAGCACCAATCTTTCTCCAGAGCTTCTGAGTCAGACCTTTAACTTGACGTCTACATATAGATATTTAAGAAAGCATTTCATATTTACCATGTGTGAGACAGACCTTTTAATTTCTTTCCACATTATGCAAAGGTTCTCTTCTTAAAGTTTTTCCCATTTCAGCAAATGAAAGTACCACCTGCCCAGTTGAAGATGGATGTTCAAGGGTTCTCTGTGATTAATTTTCCTCCCGAGTTGATATGCCTGATTGCTCCTTCCCAGCCTTGTTGCCTACACTCCTCATTCCCTGTCGTAAGTCTGTCCGTTGGTCTCCATGTCCCCTGTTCCCATCCTAGTGGACTTCAACAATAGCTACTACTCAAGACCTCTGCTCTAGTCTGACTACCCTATAGTCCACTCTTCACAGAACAGTCAGAGCGATTTTTTTTTTTTTAGTACCGGGGATCGAACTCAGGACCTTGCTCTTGCGAGGCAGGCGGCAGAACCACTGAACTAAATCCCCGGCCCTCAGAGCAATGTTTTTTAAAAGTAGAACTCATACAAATGCTTAAAACACTCATGTGTGTCTCATTACACAAGAAATCAAATCCTTACTGTTTTATTTTGACAAATAACACGGAATGATTCTCCCCTCTGCCCCTCTCACTTTATTTATACCATTTCCCTTTTTTCCCATTATGTGATGATGATTCTGAACCTTGACTTTTCCATTTGACAGGTTATTTTCTTAATAGTTAGATCTTAGCCTAAAAGCGGCTCACAGTGGCTCAGGGAGGCTTTTATTGATCAATATAAATAGCCACCCATTCTTCCCATTCCTGAGTGAAACAATGCATAAAACTAGAGGACCTTGTACAAATTGTCTACTTCCTAAAAACCTCATTTATAAAATGTTGTCCATATCTGCCATACCTAAAGATGAGTGTGAACATTCATTAGCAGTAAAATATGTAAAAATATTGAGTATGACCCCAAGTCATGATAGGATATTCCACAATAACAAACAACCCTAAATACAAGTGACGTAACACAACACTTTTAGTTTTTGCTATGTTATCTGTCAATCACTGATCAGCAGGAGTACTCTCTTTATAATTACACTGGAGTATGACCTGATAGAACAGTCGCTGCGCTGAACATTTCCCATCCTTGAGAAGGTGAAATGAGCCTGGTGTCCTCCATCAAGCGTGAAATGTTCTGTCCAGAAGGTGACCAATTTCCCTCATCAGCCATTGACGAAAGCTGGTCATTGGTCCCATCCAAGCACAAAGGGATGAAGAAATGCCTTCCTACCACATGTTCTTCTGGAGACAGGAGTATTTGATGACAGAGCCTAATGCATTCTGTAGGGACTTACACTGAACAGATTCTCAACAAATACAGTTTCTTTTGACGTGAGGACTTGAAGAGCTCTTGACTAAGCTTTTTTCAATGACTGTTGACAATGTGGTAGGGAAGGTTTCAAAAAATATTTACAGTAGTTAGCAAATTATATTTAGTACTATAATGGAAGGGAGAATAAAATCCAATAGGAAAAAGAACCTTGATTGCACAGATAAAGTATTGGGTATTATTGTTATTTGCAAGCCAGGGGGAGATGTTAGAATTTACTGTAGCATGTTAGCAGGCTGAGACTGGGTTAGGTTAGGATTTACAGAAATCCATTAGGTATATGGGTGGCTGAGCTGGGCATGGTGATGCAGGCCTGTGATCCCAGCACTCGGGAGGCTGAGGCAGGAGGGTCACAGTGAGTTGGAGGCCACCTTGGGCTACGTAATGAGTTCAAGGTCGGCCTGAACTACATAATGAGACTCTGTCTCAAAGAAACAAACAAACAAACAAACAAAACTACCAAGGAGTGCTAAAGGATAAGCAGTATCTCAGGGGGTCATTTCTCCTCTAGAGCCAATGCAAGGTCCTCCTTTAGACACTTAGTTCACTTGAATCTCTGGAATTCTGACATTTACTTTGGCGTTCACAAAATGAGCTGTTAGGTCAGATATGTCCTTTTTCTCTAACACAGATATGGTCCTCACCCTAATCTCTGCCATTTCCTTATTGACAGAAAAAACTTTTTCCCGTAAGTAATTTGTTTATGTGATAGATGGGGTGTGTCATGGGTATATGGCCTTATAAAAATTTTTTTCAGATGTTTCATTTTGAATACTCCATTTGGCAAATTAATCCTTCTTCAAAGTCTTAGGAGGGTTTAGATTCAGTATTGGATGTTTAACAATCTGTGGTTTTCACTCCTTGACGAATTGCAAAGAAGAGACCACCCAATAGCCTTTCCCAATCCTACCAACAACAGAACACTAAACAAAGACCACAGATGCTAAGCATAAGGTTGGAGGAGAAAGCTAATGGAGTATTCAGAAAAG